ATAATCCATACATTCTGTTTTAGAAGCCCTGACTTTCAAGCCCTGACTGTACAAAAAGAAACTGAACAAAATTTGCCTACATTGGCTAATAGTAGATTGATATATATACTGCAAGTCTCAGCATCTGCTGTACTTTCCTATCATGCTGCTTTGTTAAAAGTGATGAGAAGATCAGAAATAAAGATGGGTGGCCATCCTGATGTGCTAGCTCTCCAAGCATGGTTGAATACATGGGAATTTACACTCAGGCCTTTAAGACTTACACATTCACTACCTTCTGCCTCAACAGATGAATTTGTTTTGTTTTCTCTCATATTTGTTTCCTTTCCTTTTTTTCTGCCATATCTACAAAGTAACTAGCAAATTTTACAAAGTTCTTGCCCTAATTCTCTATGATAGAAACAGTTATGATCACTACACTCTCCAGGCAGGAGACCTGCCAAGAAAGAAGACCTTGGAAACATCTGCTACATGAGATAAAGTAGATTTCTGAGGCAAACTTATAAGCTCTGCAATATTTATCCAGCAGAAGATTGTAGATTTGTGTTTCTGTTTGTCCAAAGACACACATCTGCACACCTTTATTCTAAAATCTCAGGTTCCAAATTTGGCATTAAATTATTTTAAGTTTCATTATTTCCCACTGCAAGGAAAGTTAAACATTTGTCACACAACTATGATGAACTAATCTGTGAATTTTTAAGAAACACAAATGCAAGAGAGTTTACAGCAGCTTTCTCCATTTCAAATACACAGTCTGAGGAACAGAAGCCTTAGAGGAAATCTTGCAGGATTTCTCACAAGTTTTTTTTTTTTACATTTTCCCCCTGGAATTCTAATTCCTGCATAGAATGGCATCTTATTGTAAAGGATTCACTTGGAAAGGGCAGGAAAAACACCAGCCCTTTTTCCTGCTCTAGATTCATCTAGAAAGACAGATGAAACACCAAGTTGTGCAGGATTGTTACAATTTCTACACAAAATGGTATCTTTCCTGCACAGATTTCATCAGAAAAAGCAACAAGCTGTACGTGGCAGTATCCTAAATAGAAGAACAGGAGGAAAAAAAAATCAAAAACAGGAAATGAAACTGATGTCTTATTTTTTGTGGGAAGTTGTGAAAACTCAGTGGTGCAGGTTGAAGGCTTAGTGGGGACACTGAAAATCACAAAAACAAGATATGTTGTGAGTATTCATCACATCTCTGCTCTTGTTTCGAGTACCGATTACTCTCCCCTGCTAATAATCCTACCTGGCCTCAAAGACACAGATTAGCCTTAACCAGCCTCATGTGGATTTTTAGAATCAATTGAAACCAAAAAGCACTTCATTCAGTGCTACATAAATGAGTGCTGAAATAGTCTTGTCTAGCACATACAACCCATCCCCAAACTTAAACCACATCTCACTCTGTACTTAGACAGTAAAATGTCTTCTTCTGATATAGGCAGGACATGCTTGGTTTCACTTCTGTGCTAGCACAGATGTATGGATTTAACTGAACAAACCAGCTAGTGGAAATCTTTAACCAGACTTCCTAAATAATGGGTCTTTTCAACCCATTTATCCTGCTATGAATGTATATCCATGTAAATTTACTGTTTATTTATTTGCTGTATTCAGTTGTTAATATTAAATTAATAGTTTCACAGCTGAAAGATAGGAACAGAATGGTTTCCTGCTTCCTCTGAACCCCATTTAAGCCCTTTGAAATAAAAACCTAATGTCTACAAGGAAACATTTTAGATACTGTAAAATGTCACACTGCTTTGCTTGAAGTGTCTGTGGTGTGAGAATCACAAAACCTGCTCCTGAGTAGGAAGCAGTGGCCCTCACTCTGCTTAGGTGAAGAAAAGGAAAAGCTCATTAGGGGGAGGCTGTTCCTACTGACAAAGGTCAACATTTCCTAGCAAAGAACCTGCCTTATACACAGGAAAGTTCCACGGGGCACCTTTGTCTGGAATGGTCCCATGAGGATGTTGTAGGCTCCAGAATGTCCCTTTTGCCTCTGGAATGGCCCTGGGGCTACCCTGATCAGTTTAGGGTCATTTCACTTGTGTCATCCTAGTTCCTGTTGCTTTTTCCTCTAAACTGTTAGCCAATTCATTGGAAGCATTGTGAATATGTGCTGAGTGTGGAGAATTAGGTCCCCCCTCCAATTAGGTGCCCAAGGCCTCCTCATTAAACAGGATATATGCAAAAATGTGAACCAATTCTTAGAGCTGTCAATTAAAAATAAAAATAAAAAAACTCTTTGTTCCCTAGCATGGAGCTCTCTGTGTTGATACCTTTCCCATTCTTTGACTTTGAAAGCAAATACACATGGAGCAGAAGAACAAAAGTGACCAAATGAGTTCAGTTCATTATCCATATAATCTGTTGCATTTTTATCTATAGCTGTTATGTTGTATGCCCAGATATTTAGAATAATGTATAGAAAACATCTGTCTTTAATCATATTGTAACCCTCTTATACAGACAATGAGAATTGAATTAAGGAATATTTGGAAACTCCCACAGAGATGTAAAAGCATTAACAGCTGTATCAGAACAATGCAGTTAAAATGTTTGAAAATGTTTGGTTTTACCAATCAATAATGTTACACTTCATAAATACTAAAAATGCTTTTGAAATATTTGTTTTTTAAACAGGGGAGGCAAAACAGTTGTTATAACCCAGATCTTGAAAAATACTGTTCCTGGGATGACAGATAAACAAACAAACAAACAAACAAACAAACAAACAAATAATAGACAGACAGACAGACGGACGGACATGCAAACCAAAAGACAGGGTGTATGTGTGTGTGTGCTTATGCATATATAAAACCATTGACATGCAAACCAAAAGATAGGGTGTATGTGTGTGCTTATGCATATATAAAACCATTATGAAAGATAGATTTGAAAAAGAACCTTTAATCCAGATTGCATGGATAAAACTTTAGTTCTAATTAGAGCAGACTTACAGAAATCAACGAGGCTCATGGTGAATGTGACTAACAAGTCGTAGTCATTTCAATGGATCTACTCTAATGGGAACTACCATTTAAGAATTATAGCCATTGACACAGCAGCTTGCTCATGCCTGACTGCTGCAGATTTTTCTCACCTGAGGTAGATGTTTCAATTTACCAGTTGCTGAAATATTTTCAGAGTCAGATTCAGGGATGGGAAGGGATGCTTTTGCTTGGATTGCAGTTACACAATCACACATTAAAGAAACCAGCCTCCTGTCCTCTCACTTGCCTGCATTCTCTGCACCTTAAACTGTGCTACATGTTGTCAAGTTGATAACCAACTTTTGGTGAATCTATCCAAGTTTTTCCAGGGACAGAGTGTACTCAGAAGTGGTTTACCATTCCCTTCTGGGGGCACTCTGGGGCCAGGTATTTTGCCCAAGACCAAACAGGTCTGCTCTTTTTTTCTACAAGATACAGTGGGGAATCGAACTCCTGACTCATTGCTCTATGTAACGGAGCTGTCCAACCAGTCTTCTCTGCACCTTGGATACCTGTGGTTTCACTTCTTCAACTCCCACTCAGGTAATTAGAGCTCGCAGACAGTGAGAACTACTAGCAGCTCATGATCAAATGGGGACACCCTATAAAATTTTGGGGTGAGGCGCCCCCCCACTTCTTGCAAAGCAGACACTAAGAATCATAGCTGACAGCAGAGCAGTCCGCAAGCCACTCATGGTGAGAACTGCTTGTCGGGTGTGGCTTAAGTGAGGCTGGAAATTTATTTATTTTAAACAATTGTATATGGCAATGTATAAAGATGTTACTTATAAAGATGGGTTAACGTCCTTCAGTTGGAATTGTTACTGGACACAAATGAACATCCCCCTCAGCACTCCCAACACACTGCAAAAAAATACACTTCCGTACATTCTAGCAGCTACAGGGAGCAGTTTAGCATTATTCCTGACACTAAGCTGTTTTAGATTGGGGCTCCTTTTTAAAATGGGAAGTAGGTGACAGCAGGTCAGGAAGAGCTCTGCAAAAGTTGCAATTGCACTCTTTGTTCACTGAAACATAGTAGGTGGCTGGATTTCAGACATGCAAGTTAAACACCCAAAAAGTGCCCTTTAGCAGCTGGCTTGGGGAAACCCAATCTTCACCAAACTTGGAGGTACTGTAGAGGAGAGTCAGAGGAAGCGAAGCCTCTCTTCTGGTGTCTCTAGGTGCCTGGGGGAACTTACCTAGGAGGGCCTCTTTGTGGGTGTAAAATCTGGACATCTGAAATCCAGTCTTCACGAACCTTGGAGGGATTGTAGAGGAGAGGCACAGGAAGCTTTCCTGAAGTTTTGGTGTCTCTAGATGTCTTGGGGGCTGTTTTATGGCCAAATCAAAATCACTAAAAATTTGTTGATTCATATTCATCGAGGGCATTAATTCATAAGAATATGAATTGATCAATTGGTGATTTTTTGAATGAATTTGATGATTAATTTTTTAATTCATGCCCATCTCTAGTTACCATCACTGCTGTGTTGTGCCCTAAAGCTACTTCCTAAAAGGGCTTTTAGGAAGATGTTGAAGGAAGTTTACCATTGCAGTTTTAGTGCAAAGTGAGTTTCCATAGTTGAACAGGGATAGGAACCCAAGCTTCCAGAGTCCGGGAAACTCAATCTACTACACAACACTGACTCCCACTCACAATTTTTTCTCATGTACATATAAACACTCAACCCCAATTATTGTTAGTAAAAAGAGACCCACTTCATTAATTATGATTTGAAGTTGGCTTGCTTTCACTAGTCAACATTAACTTTAGTTGTACCAGGCTTGGATAATATTGTAACCCTGGGAGCTGCACCAGGAAAAGGAGATGAGGGGACCCTGTGAGACTAAAGCACAGCTTGGATTGTTCTTGTAATGCTGAACTGTGGTTTAGTGTTATGTTCAAAGCAGATATTTACTATGATCCAATTAAATTTCAAAAGGAGATCTGAGGCTGAACTAGGTCAGAATTTAAAATAATCTTATCATACTCACCAGTTTTGCGTAGTGGGAAATCATCCTTGGCATCTTGTGCTCCTGGTAATGTGTATTTGTAAGAAGGGGATGTTCCACTGAGGGGTGGAGAACTCTGATCCAAGGAGGTATGATGGGCAGCCCTGCAGAAGACACTAACAATTACCACAATGCCAGCCAGTTTGTGACTTAATAATAACTGTACCATATTATAAAAATGCTTGGACATATATACATCTTCTCTCCCCTAAATTGGCAAATGCTTCAAATTCACACAAATTTGCTTTTACAGTAAATCTCCCCTTATGTGTACTTGTAATGAGAACCATTATGACACTATTGCCCAAAGCAATGTTTCATTAGAAAATAATGTGCGGTTTTGCACTGGAGAGCAGACACTGATTTCATTTCTGACATAACCTACCTATGAGTACCAATTTGAATGTCATTTTGACCAGAAAAACTGCATCACTTTTTATAACTATTCAAACAAATTACTACTTAGGCAACACATTTTATTTTAAATATATCTAGGTAAAAATGTTCATATTCAGTCCTGGTGAGGGATGAGAACTGGGTGTAGATCCTATATTTTGAACCTATGCACACATATGAATGTTATTGTGGATTAAATCCAATTGTTAAACCCAGTTACAATAGATTGATTGAATCAATGGGAATCAGCAATGCAAAGGAACCCTCCACACATCCCTCTTTCATGAATTTCAGATGCAGGAAAGAAGAACAGGGAGAGAGAGAGAGAAAGGACAGAGCCAGGTATCTAAACCACTGAGCTATCCAGGAATTTCAGATTCAGGGAAGAAGAACAGGGAGAATGAGAGAGAAAGGACAGAGCTAAACCACTGAGCTATCTAAACCAGTGGTTTAGGTATCTAAACCACTGAGCTATCCAGCCAACCTCCCAGGCTCCAGAGCATTGGGGCTCCTGAAGTACAGATGAGATAGAATTGATTCTAGCCATGGCAGCAACATTGAGAAATGATCAAATAAGACTGCAACTGTTACCTTTTCAAAGCCCTCCTCTCCCTTGTGGCTGCTTTAGGGAGCCACTTTGTTTACTAGTGAGATCTGGGATTTCTGCCCATGGCTGGAAACAATAAAAATAAAACTGAGTACCCAGCTCTGCAGATGGTTGCTGCCATGGCCAGAAGCAATTCTATCTCATCTTCCCTTCAGGACTCCTAATGCTCTGGAGCCTGATGCAGGAGCACCATGTGCTATGACGCTGCTTTGCTATTTGTGCTTCTCCATTTGCAGGAACTCACTTTTTTGTGGAAAACCAGAAGCACACAAATACTGTCAGAGATTCAGACAAGTATTGGGTCAGAGTGGCTCCTGGATGGTGCAAGGCAGCTTGGTCACCAATTTGTGTGCCTTTATTTGAGTACAGACTACATTGAAGGGTGGGTCAGAAATAGATGCATAGCCCTAAAACAGAATGCAAATACAAACAGTAGTTCCCATCTAATGACATGTGACAGTTTCCCCTATTTCCTCACATTTTGGTAGCCAGAATCCAACATAATGCCCACTGAGTGAAAATCCCCACTAGCACAGTTGCTAGTCTTCATCAGAGTTCACCATGGCGAGGGTTTGAGAGAGCAGAAGCCTGAACGTACGTGTACCAGAGCTTGGGATGTCGGCTAATGGAATGGTTCTTCCCATTGGCTGGAGAGTCTTTTGTTGCTGATTTACTCAGAAGGAATTCTTGAAGTTTCTGCTTCACTTCTGTACTGGCTACTGCTCCTAAAACATACAAGAGTTCTGATAACTTCTGAATTCTGCAGATGCTGAGAACACACTAACAAAAACAAACACATCCAATAGTCTTGCTAGAAAATAAGTGAACACGTGTGTCAGATGCCCCTTGAACATCTTCCTTTTTAATATAGGATAACAGTGTCCCCATAATGTCCTTATAATGGTCCTAAATAGTGAAATACAGCAAATATGATAACTGTCTTGAATACCCTCACTTTCTGTTTCAGCATAAAGGAATTGTTCTTTAAATTAATGAGCAACAGACACACATTAAACATCCCACTCTTCTTTTCATAGAAGGAACAGTTAGGGCCACATGTCAAATACTGCAGCAATTAGAGAAAAACGAGAGTCTGTAAACACATACACAGTGATTTTTTAAAAGCATATTACAAACTGGAGGGCATACTTCAAAACACGTGTGTCATAGTGATTAGTGAGGTAGCACAGGTCTCAGAGAATCCTGTTTCAAAACCTAAAACATGGTATTATGCTACTGCTAAACTTATATAATTTCCTCTAGAAGCTAAAAGCATCTTTAAAGGACCCCATAAAGTTCTCAGTTTTGCTGAGCATTAGCACACACATTGTTATCAAGGAGAAATTCCAGAGGGATAATGAATGCACTGGATGGTTACAGTTTGTTACCTCCTGTAAATAGTATTCTAAAGCACTTGAAACGTGGTTTTCACTCCCATTCCATTTGTGAAGGGAATTATATGTATTTGCCTCCCCCTAGTGAGTATCACATTCCAGGAACGTCCTATTGTTTTGAACTTATTTGCCTCAAAGCCTTAGTTATCAAGGAATGTGTTCGTTCAATACACCAAGTTGCAGAAATATGATTATGGACAGAACTGTGTGTACACAGACACAGACACACCCATCCACTCACACAAGACTGCAATGCAATTAACAGGGATGAGTCTAAAATTTTAATGGAATAGTTGGCCATTTGGCTGGAGTGGATTTCGTTGCCTGGCAGTGTTAACTATGGGAAGTGAGAGTGAAAGAGGCAGGAATGGCCAACCCAGCATAGAGGGTCTCTTTTAACCGATGTCATGGCCAAGACCTTACTTTCTCGGCTTCTTTCTTTGCTTCTGATAGGAGGAAGCTGCTCTCTGCGATGTCTCTCCAGTTCCTGTTCTTGCCTCTGTTGTTCCAGTTTCTGCTCTTTTTCAAGGAGTTCTTGTTGCTGCTTAATGGCTAAGAGTTCCTGTTGTAACTTGCAAAGAAGACAATGTCATGAGGAAGGGAAGTTTTTGTCATCCTATTCCACACTAAAGTTAAGTTGTAAAACAAGTGCTATCAAAAACATTAAGTAAAACCTTGATATATTCTACTGGTTTCAATATAATTTATGGCCAGATTTTATTGATGTTTCTTTGAAGCATCCAACGGATTTAAACAAAACTTGTTTTTAATTAATTTTATACATGGTGCAGTCTTAGTTATGAGTACATTAGCTGGATCAAGACCCCAAATGAATTATTCTCTTCTTCTTTGGTTTCAGCTTTTTTCTGTTCTAATGTTTGAACTTTCATAACAATGAAGAATGCCGTGAAGCATGACATAGCACATCACATTCAGCTTTTCCTAGATAGTCAGCCTTCAGAGAACTGAATTTTTGCAGAAGTGCACTTCTTTTATTCCCCACACAGTTCAAAAAGGACATTTTTTTAAAGGTCATGAACATGTGGGACAAATCTGTTGTGTTTCTTTGCCGTGCTTAAGTGAAAGCCCATACTTAATTTCCATTTATGTTTAAGGAACTAGTGTTGAAAAATGCACATTTATTAGTTGTGTTTTAATGGTCAGAGAGGCTAGGATCTAATGGTGGACTTCTGCTGAATCCTGATGCTTCCACTGAAAATCAGCAAACCCCATTCCCTCTTTCAGCCCTGCCTCCCCCCAGCCAAAAAACCTACTGCAGAGAGATGGATAATCCTCCTGCAGTACAGAGGGTTCCACCAAGGGACGGAGGGTAGGAGAAAATCCTGATTCCACTAGCTTTGGGTATGGAGTTACACTACTGGATAAAGATTTACACTTCTGGATTTTTTTAGACTGTACAGAAGCCACAAACAGTATTACTTACAAAGCTAACTCACAAAATAACGGAAGGCAATTTTGGAGCTAAGTCGAATCCTTTTGATGGCTAGATGCCTACACAAAAGAGGAGGTACTCAGACATTTGGAAGCATTCACTTTTATTTTTGGAGCTAAGCCCTTTACGAATCTGGCTGAATTTCTGCACACAGTGTAAAAAATGGCCTTTGTGTTAAGACTGGTTTTCTGTGCATGTCTTATTGACTACATTTGTGAGCTCACCATGAAGGGAACAATACATTTCTTAAACAGATCAATATTGCTCTAGAATTGCCCTCTAACTGACTGGCAAGTTTTCCTAACATTCCAATTCAGAATACCCGGGTTTGCTCCAAAAACCTTGCTGCAAAATCAGTTATTTCACAGAGTCTTTTCTACAGGATATGGCTAAAAAGTCAATTTATAAATGACAACCGAAACAATATCCACATGTAAACTAACATGAGCTTTCATCACATACATTGTTCATGCACAAAAGTAATAACTCAAACTCCATTGCTCAGTTGCTCTCTGGTTTCCCTGGAGTCGGCCACTTTACCATGCAGTTGTTCCTGGGATTTTAAGCTTATTATGATGCTCTTTGGGGAGAGAAGAAACATTTTGCTACCTTTATGTGTTCCTGGATCTGAGCTTGGTGCTGTCGTGTCAGGTTCTCGTGCTGTTTCTGAAATTCTGCTATGAGGAGCTGTTTCTGAATTTGCTGCTGCTGCTGGATCAGGAGTAGTTCTTGTTGTAGTTGCTTTTCACGCATCAGTGGATCCACCATGGGAACCATCATCCTGAGATCTGTCCGGAGGTCTAGTGGTGTGATAGGTTCTAATCCCACAGGAACCTCGGACTTCACATCCACTAGCCAAAAAAGAAAGAAAAGAAAAAAGAAAGAAAGAAAGAAAGAAAGAAAGGAGGTGGGGGAGAGAGAGAAAGATTAGAGTTTTGTAAAATTATGAATGACATAGAGAAACTGAGAAAAGAAGCCTTTTCTCCCCATTGCCTAAACATGAGTGTGAACCTAGCACAGGCCTGCTTTTTGGACTGCTTGTAAGATCTGTGTGAACAGCAGCTAGCAGGGACAGGACGTTTCTCCAGTGGTGGTGCTATTCTTTGATATTCCCTTTCTGGAGAAGATTACAAAAGTCTTCTGTACAGACTTTATGAGAAAACTGAAGACTTTTTTTCTCCTCCATTCCAACCCACATTTTGAATCAAAGTGCAGAAAACAGCTGCTAATTTTAAAGTGATGGCATTTGACTTTTTTAATTTGCTACACTGATTGTTTTATTTCCAGGGTGGTAGCAAAACCACTTTTTAAACCAAAACTAAGACTAACGCGTGTTTTACTTGGCATAAGCTTCAAAGACTGCATCTTATTTCCTCAGATATATCTGATAAAGTGGACTGCAGTCTATATAAAAGCATACACCAAATGGAACTAGTTTATCTTTAAGGTACTACAAAGTCCTTTGTAATTATTGCTTTATAATTACGGTGTTTTAAATCCCCCCCCCCCGCAAAGCCACCTTATCAGGGTTATAAGCTGAAATGAAGTAAGACAGTTAACTGATGGAGGAAAGGGGACAGGAGTTGCCTGTAGGGTCCAATACGAAATGGAAAATGAGGTTAGGGCAGCTGAAACTCCAAAATTGTCCACCCATATTTGACCATGGACTCAATGGTCTTACAGCCCTCTTTTCATTTCCCTACAAAATGCATGTCAAATGAAGGTCTCTTTCCATTTTCTGTCATGGTCTAGAACAGTGGTTCTTAACCTTTGTTACTCGGATGCTTTTGAACTGCACCTCCCAGAAACCCCAGTCTGGACAGCTGGTGGTGAAGGCTTCTGGGAGTTGCAGTCCAAAACTCCTGAGTAACCCAAGGTTAAGAACCAGTGGTCTAGAACAGTGGTTCTTAACCTTTGTTACTCGGATGCTTTTGAACTGCACCTCCCAGAAACCCCAGTCTGGACAGCTGGTGGTGAAGGCTTCTGGGAGTTGCAGTCCAAAACTCCTGAGTAACCCAAGGTTAAGAACCAGTGGTCTAGAACAGTGGTTCCCAACCTTGAGTCCCAGATGTTCTTGAACTAAAAACCCAGAAGTCTTCATCACTAGCTATGCTGGCTAGGATTTCTAGAGCCACAGTTCTAGAGCGTGCTGACAAAACTGTAAGAAGAGGAGGACAACTGATCAAACAGATTTGGTTTCATCTTTTGTTTCTAGAGGGCACACAGGACTATCCAGATATTCTGTCTTGATAAGGAATTCAATGGAGTATGGATGCAGGTTACCAGTAGAGATCCTGCATTTAGAATGGTTGACAGCTGGGCCATTTTTGTAATGCTGTAAAAGTCTGCCTTATAGACTTGGTAGCAGGGAAGGCTGAGAATTATACTTTATTTTAAAAAATACATTTCATCCTATTTTTCAGAGTGTCCTCTTCTTTACTATTTATATGACAGAAAGGCACAACACAGAACATTGCACATTGGCAGCCACTGTATTGACTGAATTTGGAAAGTTCTGATGAGGAAATAATTTCATTTTAATTTAAAAATAATAATTTTACAAACAAATTACCAAAAGTCTGAATTTCTTTTCCCCCTATATTTGGAGAAGAAAAACATTAAAGTATATATGTATGAAATATGAATGTGGGCAAAAGTGAAATGGATAGATTATCCTCATCCTTACTTGAGGAACAAACAATGGTTAATCATTGATTCCTTAGGAGAAATGCTTACTTCTTGAAGCTCAAAGCAGCTGCATTATACCAAATATGACACAACAAACTCAATGAGAGAGAAGTTATCCAACAATCATTCCTTCACAAATTTTAGCTTCAAATTGTTCTTTATTTCTTAACAATGATCTGGCAAATCTGCAGGGTGGGCCTGGAAAATTTAAGAATGCATGTAACTAATCCGTTCTTAGAATTAGGTAGGGAAGGAAAAGGATCTCTAATCTTTAAACAAAATAAGGCCCATGGTGCAAAACAAATCAATTTGCATTTCATCCAGGAGAGGGCAGTAAGACACAAGTATATTATCTTTTTTAAAAAATCCTTTGGATTATAGTTCATCTTCAAATGCTTATACTCAAAGTATAGGAAGAGTTCTCCCGTTTTGTCTGAAATACAATATTCGCTTCCCTTATCCTTCTGTTTTCTTCCTTATTTCAAGTTAAGGAGGATATAATTCAAAATATATTTCAATATAATAAATAGTATTTGTCCTCCCCCCGCCCACAACAGTAATATATCCAGTAAGAAATCAAGCTTTTAAAAATATATGCATGTGTTTGTTTGTCTGAAATATCTGGGGATTAATTTAGCATTAAAAAAGACACATGGTGGATAGTGGAATATGCTAGTCATGTCTCCTTTTTTCAATCAATAAACAGATACAAAAGATTGTTAATGTTGTTAGTAGTAACAATAGTGATATTCAGCATTATAAGTAATATGCTAGCATTATTTATCTTCTAAAACAGTGATTGTGAATCTTACAACATCTTGTACTTCGGGCTTCCTACGCTGCCAGAATTATATTGCACAACTCCTCCTGGCTTTTCTTCTGAGGCTAATCACAAAATTGCAAAAATCACCCTTAAGTTGCAAAAACTACCCCTGATTATAAATAATTGTCCCAGACGAAGAGAAAAGTGGACAGCAAGATCCCAGCTCTTTCATCCAATTTATTCTCTAGCAAGCTGCATTCCATTTGTCTAGACTAAATATAGCAGCGTTTATACAAGAAATCAATAGTGCTTGGAGAGAGCAGAGCAAAGACATGAATATTTCATCAAACTCACAGAGAAATGGCAATCAGCAAACTGACAGCTCAGTGGAGTCTGACTCCTCCGGCCTTCCGCATAAGTCTTTGTTATTTGGACGATGGCTCACCCCCTTCAAGTCACAGCCTTATCACAGGCACTCTTCTATTTTTAGCATTAATTGCATCGTAGGTGACAAAGGCTTATGTATAAAGTGGAGAGATGGATTTTCTTACATCCTTTGTGCCACATAATAAGCCTCAGCAGGAATAATAAACGTTACTAAAGCTGGGGGGGGGGGAAACTGCTCCTCCAGACTGGCTATAGCAGCCTTCTCCACATTGGTGCACCCAAGCTGTTTTAGACTACACATCCCATCATCCCTCGGGAGATTCTAATCGACATCGCCAGAGGTGAAATTTAAATCCTAAGCTCATCCTGCATCATTGTTCAAAGCACATTTTGGAATGTGCTTTAAACAAGGAAATATGGCCTTGCCTATCTGACCATGGATTCGGGAATGTTTTTTTTTCTTTTTTCTTTTCTTTTTGTCTTTTTTTTTTTTTTTTGGCATTACCCCAACCAGGTAATACCCAGACGGATGAAGATTCCTGTGGAGTTAGAAGCTTGCTTCTGCTTGTGATATTTTAGTGGTCTAAGAAAAGTATCATCTAGCCTTGCCTTCAGTAATTGCAGTCTAATTACCTGTAGCAATGGGGACACTGAGTTCTCCAAGCAATAAAGTCAAACAGCTTCACATCAAGGACATCAATACTGTCCTTTTCTTTAAGACAACATTCTAGTATGCACCAGAGTGAACTAGCTGGCAGGACAGCTAAGGATCAGAAGCTGGGAGTTCAATTCCCCACTGTGACTCCTACAAGTTGGGCCAGCCTGTGTGGCCTTGGGAAAGCTGTTCAGTCCCCCGATTCTCCCAGAGAAAGGGAATGATAAACCATTTCTGTGTCTTCTCTACCAGGAAAATCCTGAAAAGGGTATTCTTCTTCTTCTTAGGTGAACTATAGCTTAAGAAGTTTTCTTTGTGTTTCTGTATGACCCCAACATCAGCTGGAGCAGAAAGGCCCAAGACAGGGGTGCCCACTCTCTCCATTACTATTCATTCTTACTCTAGAAATATTAACTGAGCAAATTAGAGATAAAAAGGAAATAAAAGGATTGAAAGTAAGAGGTCATACTTTTAAGCTCCAAGCTTTTGCAGATGATCTAGTTATTATATTGGAGGATCCAATGGACACTATTGAAGATATGATGGAGATGCTGATGAATTTTGGTGATATGGCAGGAATGAAAATAAACCAAAAGAAAACAAAAATACTTGTTAAAAATATAAGAGATCAAGAATGACAGGAATTTATAGAAAGGACTAACTTTCAAGAAGAGAAGACAGATACTTAGGGATCCAAATCACAAAGAAACTAGTGCATTATTCAAAGATAATTGTATGAAGTTGATTAAAGAGATACAGAATAGCTTGGAGAGATGGGACAAATTACAGCTATTGTTGATGGGAAGAATAGCAACAATCAAAATGAATGTTCCACCTAAAATGTTATTTTTATTTCAGACAATTCCCATAATATTAAAACAGTCCTTTTTTCAAGAACTTAACAAGATAATCATGATATTTCTGTGGCAAGGTAAATAAACCAAGAATTAAAATCAAAGCAATGCAAGATGCCAAACAAAGAGCAGTTTTTTGTCTCCCAGACTGTGTATTGTATTATAGAGCCCATGTATTAGTCTGGATAAAGGAATGGACAACTTTAGATAATGATAGACTACTCAAGTTGGAAGGACATGATTTACAGTTAGTTTGGCATGCTTTTCTATGATACAAGAAAGATAAAGAGCAGGAAAGTTTCAACTCATATATGATAGGAAGAGCCTTACTAGGGACTTGGAAAAAGATCATCCAGTAAATTTATCAAAAAAACACCAGGGTGGGTATCACCCATAGAGGCCTTTACACAACCTAACCTCATGACAGAAGCAAAACTTTTAAGATACGAAGATCTATTAAAAATGATTGTGAGTTAAGATCCAAAGAAGAGTTAGAAACACAAA